TTTCTGAACGTTGGGCGCAGTTCTCGAGAGGAAAAGTGGTCGCGGAAGATCGAGAGAGAGAGAGAGAGTAATTTAATGGGGGAGGATGTTTGATGGTCTTCAGGGTGGTCGAGGAAGCTTTTGCATCCTCGAAAAATTCGAAAAATAAAAAAATACTTTTATAATTCTTAATCTTAGAATCGAATGTTAAAAGATAAACATTTTTTTATGAAAATTCGTGAACAAGAAAAATTCAAAGTTTTTTTTTATTTAACTCATTCGGAAGTGAAAATTCTGTTGTAATCTGAAAAAATTTTTGAAAATAAAATATTTTATCTTTCCATTGAATTGAATATCTTAATAGAATCGAACGTTCATATTCATAAATTTTAGCGATATTATTATTATTATTATTATTATTATTAGTTTAACCAAGGAATAAATCAAAATTCATTGGAAGAGAGAGAGACTTACAACGGTACTTGGGCAATTTGCCTCAGGTAGAACCAGGGATTTTTAGTCGCCACAGGTGCCGATCGCGCCCTTTTCTAGGCGTGGATTAGCTTTAATACCCGGCCATCGATCCATTTTCCTATTGAATATATCCTTTTCACCGGAAACTGGCTAACGGTTGACTCTTGAACGACGATTGGTTTTTGGATAATTACCAATAATCCATCTGGTATGTTTGTATAATTCCATGATGTCCTTAAATTTGAGTGTCAGAGGATTTGGCAGGTAGAAAATTCAGAATTCAGGAAATAATAATATATACAATTTAGTATAATATTTCTGAATGACGTGGTATTTTAATTTGTCGAGTAATTTTATGTTCTATGTTACACTCAGGTTTGTTATTCTATCGACACTGTATTATAAGTTTAAAAGATGTGTCCAAAGTATTAAATTGACAATGGAAACGATGGAAATGAAAAATTAATTGAAGAAAATATAATTTTTGATATATTTTTAATCTTCCTTATTATTATTGTTAGTAGTTATATATTTCTAGAGATTATTTTGATGAATATTTTGAAGAATTTTTATTTAATTTAATATTTCTTATTACCGATTATTCTTTGTGATCAAATATTTATACAATGAAAAATATTTTCGAATCGTCCAAGTCATCGTTTCTTTCATTGACAAGAACGTCAGAGATTTTCTATGAAAAAGTAAACAAAAAATTGCGGAAGAATACGGAAGAACAGCACAGTAGGTTCATAATCGCGATTGTCGTGGGAGTTCATAAAAGTGTCCAGTTCCATCTGTGTGTGGTCTGACAATGCCATTCTGGCCAATAAATTAGATAAACCGCAAGAAAGACTTGCTCTCGATGTAGGAAAATAGCGTGACACGTATGAACATTGTGGCGGGTGGAAAAATCTTTTCCAAAAATCGGTCGTAAAGAAAAGCCTGTGGTCGTCGATGAATGGGACGACAAGTGACCAACTTATTATACGTGGAACGAATCTCTTCTAAGGACAGAAGAAAAGAATTTCTTTAGAGAAATATCTACGATACGCGTCAAAGAAATGGCAATATATCAATTATAT